AAATAAATAAATAATTTGGGGGCATACCCACCACCCAAATATCTCAAAAATTGGGAATTTTACCAATGAATCTTATGTTAGTTCTATTTAGCTCCTCCTCTATAATTCGAGAATTTCAATCAATACTTTATATTCCCCATCCCCCACTTTGAAATTTCAGGTTCTGTCATTGCCCTCTAGTGAACTAAATGTAATCAAATGAAAGTTGCTTTTAGAGAAACAAGAAAAGCAACAATTAGTATCAACATTCAAGAAAAAAAGAAGGCAAGATGTACCTGACAGACAAAGGGATAGAGAGAGATATGGGTCCAAGATTGAGGAGATTGATAAAGGGTATGTTGGTCTTGCAACTTGGTCGATGAAACCCCAGAATGGATTGAGATGGACGAGCAGAACAAGGAACGGAGGCCATTCTCTCTCCAGAAGATTTGATTTTTTATTTTTTTTTTATTTTTTTGTGAATATGAGGTGCTACGATGAAAGGAAATTGATATTATCCTATGTGTACGCCACGCCACGACCTTTAGATTTAGGGTAAATTACATTCAGACCCTCTCAAGTTTGTCATTTAATCAACTTGACTCCCTCATATTTAAAATATTATATCTACACCCCTTACAGCTGAGGACTAATTGACGGTGGAAACGGAACCAATGAAAAGACCTAAAATGCTCCTATATATTGTTGAAGACCTTTATAATTACTGAACTATCCCTCTACCTAAGTATATAAGCTTTCCCGCTTTTTACACCCATCAACACTATAGGCCTCACTTTCTCANTGTCGAGTATTCACCATGATCACTGTTCTTTATAGAGAAGAAACTAAGAAAACTAGTCGTTTCCCACAGACGGCGCCAGATTGTGCGTGCAGGATCTTGCATAATATAAACATGAGAACAGATCTCTCCCGTGGTGAACTCGAGTCAGTCAATCAAACGGTCAACCTAGCTATTTGGAACATGCTGAGANATGGTGAAAGGTACACATAATGGAAAAGCTATTCAAATAATGGAAAAACAATTTGTTTGTTTTTTCCAAATAATCTCTTCATCCATTTGAAATGGAAAAGTTGTTCATTTTCGTTTTCCAAACAATCTGTTTGTTTCAACTTAACTAAAACATTTTGTCCCAAATCGTCTAATGCATGAATAATNTAGCTATTTGGAACATGCTGAGATCTGTTGATGGCCTGGAAAGATAATGAGTGACTTTCGTGGATCAAAGGAGTGGTCCAGTAAGGCTGAGGGATGTTCCTGGAACAGAGAAAAATAAGTTAGAAGGGCGTCGGAGTATTTTTTGGCGTATCCCCTCCGACGATCAAGTCAGTTTTTGAGAAAGGGGAAGAAGAAAACACTGAGTATAGATTTGAGAAAAGGTTTTTCTGTTGCATACCGTCTTGCCTTTTGCGAGGAGTATTTATACATCAAAAACTCCTGATTGCTGTTAGTGTGGTCAGTAGGTGATCATTAGATACGGGCAACGTGCAAATTGATTCCTATGAGGAATGTCTTCTCTCTTAACTGCTCGGGACCCCGAGCAACTAATGCTGCGTCATCAGCCTTCCGAATGTTTAATGAGCTCCTCTCGGCAAGGGTGTAATAAATGCTCAGTCTCAGAGACATTTATTACCTTTCTCTTCCGAGCCTTACCGCATTAAATGTTGTCTCATCAACGGAATGGTCTAATTAAATGCTTGCTTTCTCAAGTCGTGTGTCAGCAAGGGTATCAGGTCTTTTTGTCTTTGATATGACACAATATGCCACGCGCCCATTCCCCATTGACTGTGTCTTCTGCCTTCCTGTGCCTTCTGACACTAATTGTGTAAGACAAGGTTATGATGGCTAACCTAGCCTAGCCTAGGCTAGTGACCTGTACATCAATAGCCTCTGCAGGAGCAGAGAACGCCATCCTGGACGGGTACATCTCTGTACCGATGGTAGTGGTACATGTAGGGACCGATGTATCCCATATCTGCTCGAGGGATACGTGTCGGTACGTAACGTACTGGGTGTCATTGATCCCTATAAACAGTACTTCGGGAAAAAAGGGACTTGTGATCCGACGAGTACGTGTCGTAATTACAGTAATAAGAATTTACTAATGTCGAGGACACATATCTTCATTTTAGAGTATTTGAAAATGTCCCATCGATAACAATCGCAGGGAACACATCATGGCTTAAATTGCTTAGAAACAAAGAGTGACTAAATAAAGCAAGTTTATTTATTTGCCCAAGAAAACACTACTATAATGATGCTGAGTTATTAAGTAATATTTGGGCAAACTATATTTTGACCCCCTTAACTATGGACTTGATTTCAATTTACCCCTTAAACTATTCAATTTTTGACATTTTCCCCACAATTAATTGAATTATTTCACATTGCCCAATACACAAACTTTCACTATTTTTTTGAATGAAAGTTACCAACGAGTCGGGACAAAATAAAAAAAAATCATATAGTTTGGTGGTGGGGCGAAAAATGATAAATTTCCGTCAAAAAAGCAACAGATGTTAATGGTATAAAACTGATCACTATGACAATGACTAATGAGCTTCTCTATTGACATTTTTGACTCTTGCGTGACTTTTGATCAGAGACAAACTACAATAATTGACATTATTGACTCTTGCCTGAGTTTAACCATAGCCAAACAAGCNGTTAACCATAGTCAAACAAGCTCATCTGTGAAAGGATAGGGTTAATTATAATACTAAAAAATAATTTTTTAATATCGTACATCATTTTTTTTCTTCTAATGAAAACTTGACAATGCGGACAAATTATTTATTTTATTATTTCACATTAATTTATTATTTTAATAATCAATGGTTAAGGATAAATTAAAGAAAGATCAAAGGCTTAAAATTATTTAGAGGTATGATATCAAAATTTTTTTTAGTACCATAGCACTATCCAAGGGGATATTATGGGATGGGACTTGGCCTAACTATTTTTTAACACACTAGGATGACCCGATAGGGTTGAAGTTAGCCCTTGTGGATGCAACACACCTTCTTGGGAGAAGTCCCCCCTTCGATGCCCAACCGTATCTCGGAGGATTAGTCCTGGGCGAAGCCTGGGGATACCTTGGAAAACTGAAAAAAGAAGTTAGTCTAAACAGATTTGAGTGATATTCAAGTGATCTTGTAAGTCCCTCGAATAAATAAATCGGTACGAGTTTATTTAAACATTACTTACGGAACAATTTTACATTCATCAAATTTTTTACTAAATTTTGAATCTCCGATCATAGGATCAATAGATTCCACAAACTCTCACTAACTATTAAATGACTATCATTGATCCTAACATTTTTAGGATCTATTTTAAGTTATCACAAAAATTATAAATTACATTCAAAAAATTGTTTAAAAAAAAATCACAAAATTTATAATAATTGTATAATATCAATTATTTTTATTTTTTTGGTATCGTAGACTTACAAATATGCTAACACTCTCTGCAAGGGCAAATAAAATTTTCTTTCCTTTTTACCCTTTTTTTTTGGGGTAAATTTGGCTGATCTATCTAACTGAATAAATCACACACACTGACACACACATCAAAGTAATGCTGTGAAGTCCAAATCTGTCGACCCCTGCAATGCATCTGGACAAATATCCATAAAGTCAAGCTACTATTCCTCGTTCATTTCATGATAATGCCCTCCTGCTGAGAATAAAAAATCAACAACAGGAGGAATCAGGAATTTAACATTAATAAGAAAAGTATAATAAATTACAAGTAAATTACTATAAATATTCACGAGAAATAAATCATTCATTACCTGACTCCAAGAGATTATTAAAATATATATATATATATATATTTTNTTCGTTTCAAAAACACAAATGGTATCCACAACAATGTCAGCTAGAATCTATAATCGAAACAGATGCTTCTGGCACTCAACAATCTCACAGATCATCTAACGGTCTCTTAACACAGTGCAAAGGACCCCAGTCTGACCAGGGGACTGTTCATCGAAAAGTCTAAATATTCTATATAATACAGCACAGGTCATCTTGTGTTTGACCATGATTGCCGATTAGGATCTAGGACAACAAGGTCGCAGTTCAAGCATTTTTTCACAAAGTGGTGAAATTCCAGTACAAAACCACCTTATTTAGATGGAGGCACATGGAAAATTAGACTAATCAGCCACATTACAATGGATCCAACGATCCAAACAATGATAGAAAAGACTAAGAAACCAGCCAAGATAGTGAGGAATGGTGGACCTTGAGCAGCATCACTGATCTTAGACCCATCCGATTCCTCCACAGGGTTAGTGTTTGAAGTAAATACAGGAAGCGAATTTTGCCTTACTTGCAATCTGACAGACGTTTTCAACCTGAAGGTAACCAAATTAATGAGTTTTTTTGCCTATTGAAATAATATTAATAAGTTTGAGGATACAATCATCACGTAAACCCACAAATGGATAATATTAGACATTACACCAAAAATAATTTATTGAACAAGGTAACAGCATGCATGTAAACATTGAAATGGTATTACATATTCCATGATCTGTGCACATAGAAACTATGGGATGAGCCCAACAATGTTTAATGAAATGGAAAAAAAGAAAGAAAGAAGAAGCTAGGGCAAGCGAAGTTGGTTTGTCGGGCACTGTAGGCTCACAAATTGCATGCAAAGTCCAATGTGGCAAGCTGTTTGATGTCACTGTCACTCTACAAATTTCATTATTATTTTAAGTAACTCTCAGAAGAAGTTTGATTTATTCGTTTACCAGATCTAAGCTACTGAAAAAAAAATACTAAACAAGTTGAGCTTATTGATCTTGAATATACTCAAATCCGGCTCAAGTGGGATTGGCTAAACTCGGTAATCGAGCTTAGATTCTCGCACTAGTTCGGTTTAGCAGAAGCTTGTAAGTATTCAAGCCGAACTCGGCTGAAATCTAATCAATTTCTCATCAAACAAATTTAAAAATTAAACACCAGAACTTAACAATGAAATATAGAATGATCACTTTCCCAGAAAAAATCTTCTAAAATCCGTATGACCAACCACGAGAACAAACACTAGAAGTTCAAATTTTTAAGTAATCTATTTGAGAAAAGAGGATACATATATTTATATGATCTGAAGTTAACTGGGAATTTGAATTTTGAAATGGTTCATATATTAAAAATAGATTGTCTGAAAACAAAATTAAATTGTTTATAAAAAAGAACCTATTTGAGCAAAGTCGAGCCTACTCTGATCGAACCACACGTTAATTGGATTTAGCNAACCTATTTGAGCAAAGTCGAGCCTACTCTGATCGAACCACACGTTAATTGGATTTAGCTCCTTTATAAAACAAACTTAGAAATCTAATCAAATTCGTTTTATTTTGTAATTTCTAGGAGTCTAACTGAACCAAAACTAGGTTGAGCCGAAGCTGAGCATTGAACTGCTTGGCTTGTTTAATTGCCCTAGCTGCTAATATCTAGGCTGATTCAAACAATTTTGAAATCTCTTGCAACCTGCCCTACTTGTATTAATCCACAATCAACATCATAGAGAAGAAAGATCTGCAACAATTACAAGGATTGAGAATACAACTTGATATCTAAGAACAGCATGGATCACAATCAATACATTTCCGGAAAACATTAGGCAATATCAATTACAGAATTGAGTGACTGGTGCAATTTGTAAAGTGAGCAACCTGTACAAAGTAACACCAAATATTACATAGTTATCCAATTTACCTCTAAGATAACTTAATGTCAATCCTAACAAGAGGAATATTTATAGTGATTGTTTGTTAACAAGAACTTCAACTATCAGACCAGACTTAACTAATAAACTTCTTTATGCATAGAGAATATGTGAGCACGTGGGGTCTCCTCCTTTGACAATGGTGCAAATGGTCTCAACGAAGCAAATGGGACCAATATAGGACGCCCTCAGTTCACATGGACCAACTGGCTAATGTCCTTTGCTTACGTATCATTTAAGAACCCATTGACAATAAAATCACCACATTTTTCTATAAGCTGATTTTTTTTTTTTTTGGCCATTTCATGAAACTTTACCAACCAACATTGCTCAATACACACACTAGTAGTCATAACATGAAACTACAGTTCAACACTGAAACCTAGAATTCAGAAGACCCTACAGCAGCGGCGAATCTATGTTTGGGGCCTTGGGACTTGGGAGCATCCCATCTCTCTCCCTCCCCCCCCCCAAAAAAAAAATAAATAAATAATTTGGGGGCATACTCACCACCCAAATATCTCAAAAATTGGGAATTTTACCAATGAATCTTATGTTAGTTCTATTTAGCTCCTCCTCTATAATTCAAGAATTTCAATCAATACTTTATATTCCCCATCCCCCACTTTGAAATTTCAGGTTCTGTCATTGCCCTCTAGTGAACTAAATGTAATCAAATGAAAGTTGCTTTTAGAGAAACAAGAAAAGCAACAATTAGTATCAACATTCAAGAAAAAAAGAAGGCAAGATGTACCTGACAGACAAAGGGATAGAGAGAGATATGGGTCCAAGATTGAGGAGATTGATAAAGGGTATGTTGGTCTTGCAACTTGGTCGATGAAACCCCAGAATGGATTGAGATGGACGAGCAGAACAAGGAACGGAGGCCATTCTCTCTCCAGAAGATTTGATTTTTTATTTTTTTTTATTTTTTTGTGAATCATGAATATGAGGTGCTACGATGAAAGGAAATTGATATTATCCTATGTGTACGCCACGCCACGACCTTTAGACTTAGGGTAAATTACATCCAGACCCTCTCAAGTTTGTCATTTAATCAACTTGACTCCCTCATATTTAAAATATTATATCTACACCCCTTGCAGCTGAGGACTAATTGACGGTGGAAACGGAACCAATGAAAAGACCTAAAATGCCCCTATATATTGTTGAAGACCTTTATAATTACTGAACTATCCCTCTACCTAAGTATATAAGCTTTCCCGCTTTTTACACCCATCAACACTATAGGCCTCACTTTCTCAACTAGAAGAACTCTTCCAGTATCTGTTGTTCTTGGCGTCTGGCGTTCCCAAGTGGATCCAAGATTACTAGGAGGTGGAAGATTCCAAAGTGGTGAAAGGTACACATAATGGAAAGCTATTCAAATAATGGAAAAGCAATTTGTTTGTTTTTTCCAAATAATCTCTTCATCCATTTGAAATGGAAAAGCTGTTCATTTTCGTTTTCCAAACAATTTGTTTGTTTCAACTTAACTAAAACATTTTGTCCCAAATCGTCTAATGCATGAATAATCATTAGTTATGAGTTATAGGCATAGTTTCAAAGAGGACACAATGAAATGGAAAAGCTGCCAAATTACAAGCATGCAATTTGAAGTTAGAATCAGGAGGCATTGTCAATTAAACCTCAATTTTATCTATTCGTTTATTTGAAAAGTTTGTACTAATTAGGTCTAGATTTTTTGAAAACTATACTGATTATGTTTCGATTTTTTGAGTACTCCGTACTGATTAGGGAATCACTTGGGTTTTGGTTTTTATTTTGCTGAAAAGAACATCAGGAACTTAGCCACTAACAATCGGTACATTAAAAGTTGATACTAGGTTTTTCAGAAACAAATTGATTGGGATTTCAATTTTTTTTTGTATTTCAATCCAGTGTATGTATGTCATTGAATGTTTATGCCTTTGTTTTTTTATAAGCTGACAAACTGTTATCATTAAATAGTTGTTTTGTTTTGTTCGTGTGTAGGATGGTCGCTTTTTGTTATCATGACCTGGTTGTGCATTTCTTAGCAAATCAATTTTTTGTGAAGAATATCGACCCTGAGAAGTACTGTTATTTGGATCTGTTAAATGATGTGTGTGACGTGGCTTTGAAAGATGTTCCCTCTAGCATAAACACTTCTATAAGATTGACGTGTTCTATTCCTGGATCTACTCAAGAAATTGATATAAGAATGGATGCAAATGTCCTACAGATGTTCAAGTTACACAACAAGTGTGCAATAATTCAATTGTATATCAAAGATGCTTAGTTTTAGCAGTCATTAGATGTGCAAGTTTCTAATCCTCGACCCTTTAGGAAAGCAGGAATTCATGGTGATAAGGAAGAAATTGGGTATGAGGATGAAGAGTACAAATTTAGTGATGATGATGGATGGTGTGTGCACACTGAAAGTGATATTAGTTTTAGTGGTTTGGAGTTACTGGATATTGAGATGGATATTGATGATATGAAAGATGGTGGACCTTTATCAGACTATGAGTTAAATGATGAGGGTGGCCAACATGTAGATTCTAATGATGAAGATGATGATCATAAGGATGACCCTTTGGACGGTTCACTTCATGGTAAAATATTCAACATTGGGGAAGGTGAAAAAATTGAATTTGAGAAAGGAATGTTATTTCCAAACATCAATGCCTTTAGAGATGCGTTAAGGGATTATGTGATTCATAAGGGATTCTCATTGGTCAGAGATAAAAATGAAAGGAAGAGGATAACAACACACTGTGCTGTTGAGGGGTGCCCTTGGAGGATACATGTTTCTCTCTTGTCAGATATGCTTACTTACAAGGTAAAGACATATAACTTTATCCATAGTTGTGTTAGGAATACCAAGCCCAAGGAAGCAAATGCACCATGGATTGCTAAAAAACTAATAAATATGTTGAAGGCTAATCCTAATGTGACAATGTCAGGAATGAGGGAAGAACTGAAAAAGTATGGAGTCCAACCTCCTAGTATGCAATTGTATAGGGCAAGAAAGAAGGCTCTAGAATGGATTCAAGGTAATCATGGTGATTCGTATGGAAGGTTGCTTACATATGCTCATTTGGTGAATCAAACAAACCCGGGTAGCATTGTCAAGATCCATTACGAGTTGCATAATTTGGCTGCTTCTCCATCTTTTAAGAGAATCTTTATTGGATTTTGTACTCTTGGGCAAGTTTTCATGAGAGGATGTCGGACTTTTCCAGGTTTTGATGGGTGTCATTTGAAAGGGCCTTACGAAGGTGTGCTTTTATCTGCGGTTGGACTAGATGAAAATAATAGTTTGTTTCCAGTTGCGTTTGCTGTTGTGGAATCTGAGACAAAAGAGAGTTGGTGTTTTTCTTTGAGTGGCTTAGTGAAATGTTGGATGGGTTCCAAGTGGTTAAGTTATGGAATTTTGTGACTAATAGACATGAGTTATTACCTTTCTGGTAGTTCTTTCTGCAGTTTAGTATGTACTTATTATTGACTAATGATTTTATTCTACTTATGTAATTTTTGTGTACTTATGCAGGGTTGAAAGGAGGCCATAAATCATATTGTGCCACATGCCTTTAGTAGACATTGTTGTAGGCACATTTATAACAACTTTAGGGCCACCTTCTTCGAGTTACTTCTAAGGAAATTGTTCTGGAATGTTGCAAGGGCATACACACCACAAGATTTTCAATTAATGTCATGGAGAGAATTAAGGATGTAAAGCCTGCAGTATTTGCATGGCTTCAAAGGATGCCTACCTCAATGTGGGCAAGGCATGCCTTTGATACTTCTGTGAAAAGTGACCATGTGACAAACAATTTGAGTGAGTCATTTAACAATTGGATTGGAGAGTTGAGAGAAAAACCTATACTAACCTTGCTAGAGAGTTTGAGGACTAAACTTATGAATAGGTTGCAAGAAGAGGTTTGAAAAGGCATGTACTTGGCCTAACTCTGTGACACCAAAAACTGTGGAGAAGTTGAATGTTGTGAAGCATGAATCTAGAAAATGTACCCTCTTGCTTGTTGGTCATGATGAATTTCAGATCACAGATGGATCATTTTATTATATAGTTGATATTGGTAAAATGACTTATGAATGTAGGGTATAAGACATCAGTGGAATACCTTGCAAGCATGTTGCTGTTGGCATTGCATATAGGAGGCAAAACCTTGAGGATTTTTGTGATCCATGTTATTATAAGGAGACATACCTCAAGACTTACAGTGAAATGTCATAGCTGATTTTTTGGCATCATTTGCAGTCCAAACTGAAAATTCTTTTGATTTTTCAGATTCTGGCACATTGCCAACTGTTGGGAGGATGCTCTTGCAAAGGGACCAGATCTTACTGCCTACTGCAAGGATAAAAAGGTTGTTAACAGAGGTATACTGTCTCTTTAATAATCTGTCTTTGGGAAGTGTTGTCTAGCACTGGACTGCTTCTATAGCAAGTTTGGAGCTGTTAGTCTGAAAGCATGGAGCTATGATTTGTTTTTGCTGAAGAGGCTTGGAGAGCTGTCAAATGGTGCTGCGTGGTGTTCTATGTTGCTGCTCAAGTTGCACTTTGGGTGGCTGAAAGGAGTGAAGTTGTAGAAGGCCATAACAGTAATTTGTCTATATTTTGTAACAGATTTTTTTGGCAGTTATAGTGTAATAGAATTTCTGTTTTAACAAATTTTTAGGCAGTTTTCCATAATAGAAATTTTCTTTTCTTGAAAAAAAAAAAGGTGATGTAGATATGTAACACAAGTCATGCTTTTTTCCCTAGTATTTGAAAGTCCATCTGATTATGGAAGTTGTAGCAATACTGTTGTCTGAGCAACAACAACAAAGAGTTCCAGTGAGTCTTCAGTTGAAGGCATTATTGCAGCAAAGAGAGAACCAACATACACTTGGTCCACATAGAGCCTGCCGCATTGTCCATCTGCTTAAAAAAATCCAGTTGCAATCGATAAGAAAAACAGTCCAACTGAACAGTCCCAAAAAAAAAAAAAAAAAAAAAGTCTAGAAGTTATGTCTCTAAATGATTTGAACGAATTAACAGTGGACAAAATGAAAGGGTAATATGGGAATTCTAATTGTGTATTAGATGACAACATTTTTTTTAACAGATTTTTAATAGATACGGACGACAGGGGGTTCTTTGTTACAAGCACACAAACTTACAGGGGTGTAAATATAATATTTTAAATGTGAGAGGATCCAACTGATTAAGTGACAAATTTGAGGGGTCTGAGTGTAATTTACCCTTAGATTTATTGAAAGGGATTTAATTTCATTTAATTAATTGTGAATTTTAAATAATATATTTTTATTGAAATAAATTTAGTGAGATCCATAAAATACACTTTCCTCTATTTTCATATATTATTACCATGAATTCAATTATCTAAGTAAAAATCATTGCATATAAGTGGGTAGTGGGGAAGATTAGGGTTCTACCTTATAATTATTGCAATTTATAATTTTATAAGTTAAATTATAATTTTTGAGATATAAATTAAAATTGTAAAAGATATGATCAACTATAAATTATTATTTTTAAAATTTAATTATAACTCGTAACGGCCAGCAAAATTTGATTGTAATCATGAATTATTTTGAATCAATTGTAACTTGACCTAAAAAAAATACTAACTTTACAAAAGTAGTAATCTTCAATACAAGTACCAAACTTTTTTCTGATACGGTAGAATTACCCATAAGTGGAATACTCATTAATACATAATAATAGATAATATCCACAAATAAAAAGGATAAAGAATATATTGAAAAAATGTGAATCCTAGATAAACTTATGGATATAAGGAATGACATTCAAAACTTAAACTTTTTAAATATTTTTTTATGAAATTATAAACACGTTTTTAACAAAAAAAATTGAAACATATTTTGCAAAATACTTTGAAATTGAAAAATGTGGGTTAAATATCTATATAATAAAGTAGCTTACAATTCAAATTTTTAAAAATAAATAAAATAACTTTTTCTATTTGTGATTGAGATCGTTTTAAATTTTATTTTAAAGTTAATTTAACGGCTAATATTAACACCTTAAATTTAATAAAAAAAATAGAACCCTAAGAGCGTGTTTAGAATTACTTTTTAAAAGTACTTTTACAAATTATTTCTCATAAATATTTAAAAAAAAAATAGGATTTGAAGCTGTCTCACCACTATCTCTACCACCATCATCGCCGGCGCTGCCGCTGCCATTGCCACCACCACCGTCATCGCTGCCACCACGACCACCACCACCATCGTCATCGTTGCCACCACCACCGTCGCCGTTGCCACCACCCTCACTGCCACTGCCACCACCACCACCCCCACCGCCACCACCATTGTCGCCATCACCACCACCATCGTTGTCGTCATCAATGGTTAATGCCACCCACCACAACCATAACTGTCTCTTACCACCACCACTGTCGCCAACCACCTCTCACTCCCACTACAAAATCGATGTTTAAATTTATTTATCTCTTCTCTATATTTATGATTTAATTTTAGATGTGAATATAAATATGTTTATTGTTTATTATTTATTATTTTTTTATTAGTACGTGCCTTTAAGCACAATAACTAGTTTTTATATAAATAATGACAGTTTAAAAAATAGCCATAAGCTCTGCCGTAAGGGGCCCAGGAGTTAGGACTGACCCTCTTAGTGGGCCAATTTTTTTTTTTTTTGGATTATTTAAAACCACTTCAAATTTGTATTGTATTAAAATCTAAAAATTAAACAATAATTGAGATATTACTACAGAGAATAGGTAACAATTTTTATTAATTGACATAAAAAAAAAATGAATATCAGTTTACAAGGGTGAGAAACTGCATCACTACAAGTTGTGCACCTAGTAATTACTGGGTATGTGTTGGATAGAGAATTGTATGTGTCAATAAGAATTAATGGAATTCTGCAAGAAGTAAAAATATCACTTAATTATGAAAAAAAAATTGGATCAACTATAACACACTTAAATTTTCCCAACGCTTGATCACTAACCATAGATCCTAGTGAGACTCATTCTAATACACTTTTTCCTTGATTATTTCAAATGCTATAACAAGAAGGGTCCAATGACGGTACCCAACACAAAATCTAAGTTAGACTCACCACCAAACACAAAATCTTAAGTTAAGACTCACTTGAATAGAGTGAGTGTAATATCAGTAAAGAATAACAGAAGTATCTATAAAGAAAAAAGTGCACACTGGTCTCTTCATTTGAAGCCACCATTGTGTGCCGCCATCAGAGTTCATTCTGCAGGATTCCATTACTTAGGAGTGTCAAAGGGTGAGAATTTGGAGCAACCAACCATATGTCCGTATACTAGGGCATATTATTTACAGCTCTTTGGAATCATGCTCTATAATCTATAAGAACCAACCCATCCGGCAACAAGAAATTCAAAAAAACAAAAAAAACGAAAACTTGCTTAAAAATAGCTACGGCGAAACACCATGCCAGCTGGTTTAATTAGGGAGAAAACACATCTCAATATTCAAAGTTTGGGGTTTCTAGATTAATCCCTTTTTTGTTGCTCCCTTGTTTAACAAAACTTCGTGTGTTGTTGCAAATAGCATCAGATTAGCAATCACACATAAAACATAAGTATTTTCCATCAAATTTCAACCTGCATTCTTACAAGGGATGTCCTCTGGTGGAAATACATTTCATCCTTCTGCCTGCACCTTTGAACTTGAAGCGATGCCTGTTTGGTCATACGACTTGTCCCAATTCTTCCCATCAAAATGCTTGATCTCAACATGGGTTAGTGTTCCAGGATCCACACACCTGAATGTAACTGCTATTCCATCAGGGTTTGACCGAGGAATATAGAAGGAGGTGATACCACAAACCTTGCAGAAAGTGTGCTTTGCCATGTGAGTGCCAAAAGTGTAAGTTGTAAGGAAATTTTCGGAATCTCCAAGAAGCTCAAACCGTTCAGATGGGACGATGAAGTGAGTGTTTCCTCTCATGGAGCAGTCAGAGCAGTCGCATTGCCAGGCTACAACACTAGGTGGTGCTTGAACTTGCCATCTAACACTTCTGCAGTGGCATCCACCACTGTGTACTACCATTCCAGAGTCCATTCTATAGGTTTCTATCCCTTCAGAGGTGCTATAGAAACATGAAGTATGCTGCTATCAATCAATAAAATATTACGGTAATTCTTTCAAACAACAAAAAATGAAAAAAAAAAAAAAAGGAAATTAAGCAATTTGTTTTTAAATTTTTAAATGGACACTAAAACTTCAGCAATCAATTCTTTTAACTAAAATCAAGTTGACAGATTCTTGGAATCATCACAAAATTAAACCAAATGTGGTTGTAGCAACCAACTAATTTGGAAATTCACCTTTTGGCAGCTGCAAAAATGTATGGAAGAATCAAGCCCAGTTAAAAATTACCTCATGATGGATTCTGAAAAGAATCTATCTATGATGTATTGAAACCTATGAGCCCTCAAAAGCCTCCAAACTCTCAATCTTTAGTTCTAAGATAAAGCTGGCATTCTCTCTCTTAAGTGGCAGTCCATCAAGTGCCTCCTTCCCCATAATCCCTAACTTTTTATTTTATAGTACTAGAAATATCAATGTAATTAAATTTAAAGAGTCAACTAAAAGATATAAATAAAACCTCAAAACAAACTTATAGGTAACAGAAGGGGACGGGTGCATGTGCATAAAAGTGATGTCATGGGGCATACAGGTAACAGAAGGGGAAAGGGTGCATATGGATTTATTGCCAGAGATACTGAAGGAAATTCCTAGTTCCACCATTGCAGAGAGTATGCATTGCCCCAGTGCCCGACAAGCCAAAACAACAGTCCTGAGAGAGGTTTTCTGTAGGAGTGAACTTGGTTTTCAAAAAGTAATTCTTCAATGAGATACACAAAGCCTAAATCCAACTAAAAGATCCCACTGTGAATTAGACTGGGAAGTGCCTCGCATTTCGCAAGATATTTATCCATAGTAGTTGGCTTGAGCTACTATTTAACGAAAAATGACCCTTGATAGAGCAAGTGGAGAAATATGATTGATGTTGCCGACCTCAAATAGTTAGGGTAAAAACTTTGTTGAATTGAGTAGCAGGCTGAAGGTCTCAGTTTGTATACAGTTTCATCAGCAGACAGGCAAACCAATCTGCTCATTCAAAGGCTATTCAGGGTTTTTCCTCCTGACAGTACTTTACAGAACTAGAATTTGCTCTGGAACGATTTGAAAAGAGGATTTCCCTCCTAGCAGACTCGTATAAGACAATCTCCGATGAAAACTCAAACCCTTATTCAAATTTGAGTAAAAAAATAGGGTAAGGGTGAAATTTCACCATCAAATATTTGAAAAATGGTAAGGATTGGAGATGCTCACACCTCACTCTTAAAATGCGAGAAAGGGGATAAGAAATTCCTTATTAAACCCAAAAATATTACAAGAATATCCTCACTACACCCAAATTAATCAGAATCTGGAAATGAAATCACTCACAGAACAATCAGCAAATATGTTTCTCTCCAACCTAATTAGCCTAAGGAGATTAGAACTTCCAAGAGATTAGACTCAGATGCGGTTAATTCAATGTTGTTGACAAGCTATTGACATCAATGTTTCCCAGATCAAAATCATAGGATCATACTACTGGAAAATAAAATAAGGGTTCAAAGCACCAGAGTTGTGTTGAATATATGTGTGTGTGTGAAGTTGATGGCGATGGTGATAAATTTCGAGAACAATAAGGTATATAGACTTACTGACAAGATATTTCTGTGTGAGAAGGCAAAAAGCAAGCAGTGAAGTGCTGATTTGCTAATTGCTGTGTTCCTCTTTGCAGAAACTTCTCTGACTATGACTCACGCAAGTTTATCACATGATTGGTTTGGTCCTCTATTTTAAGAACGAATTCTGACTTCTGACCTTATACTTGTAACTTCACTTCGATTCGGTCCTCGCTAGTTTTTGTGGATTATGAACTGACCTAGCTCTTGCTGAGTTGTAAGTCCTCTTTGGTAATACTATTTAATGTTTAAGATGAATAAATTATACCTTAAATGTGGTTGATAATCAAAAGTCTTTTTTTTTTTAAAAAAAAAAAAGGTTTGTGGGGGCAACCGGTGGAACCCGGTCTGGGTGTGACCATAAAATCTCGAATTATCACTTAAAAAATTGCAGGCATTTTCAAAAACTAACTCGAGTCATGACTTACCTCCCACACCATAGATTATCAATAAAAATACTAAGAATCCCTATGGATCAAACCCTGTTTACTAATTTTATGAGAGTCAAAAAGGACTATAACCTAAATAGGGCACTACAAGTTGTTGAATTACGAGTCCGACGGTGTTTGATTATTAATAGACAATAGTCACATTAAGTAAAAATTCAATCTTCTTAAAAATAAGTTAAAATTTTGACTAAACGTTAGACCCAAAGCTAAAGAATATGATGAATAAGGATGTTATAAATTATTTTCTAAAGGACTAAAGTACCCTTAAATATTATGATCTCATCCATCGTACCTTTAATCCTTGCTAATACTCTTTTTTTCTAACGTTTCTCTTTACCCCAATTGGGTCCGCAACTCCAACTCCATCACAGCCTTTACCAAACATGATGGATATAGTCCATACGTCAAAAGTCGGAGATCGTTCCATGGCCCCAACTCAGAAGACTGAATGAGATGCGTTAGTCATTACTTCTATGTTTTCAGTCAAAAGAAATATGACACTTGTCATCACATACCTGACACCAAACATGGACTTCAAAACTGCTAACACATGTCAATGGTGAAGGCTCATGCATGGTGTTAGCTTTGTGCACACTTAACGGTACATGATTAATCTCAATCATTACCTTTTAAAGTAAAATCACAATCCACCCTAACTATAAAAGCCCTCATAAATAAGGGCTTAAGGAGGAACTTTCAGAAAAAATAAACTCTCTTTCTCTCTCTCTTTACAATAATGCCTTACCTTTAATAGGAATTCTAAACAAAACTTGCTGAACTAACTTAAGTATCAAAGATGGTTCTATTGGGACTATGTTGATCCCTTACTTTAAGTTTCCTTTGACAGAACTAAAGCTAACTATTTCTGCACTCAAAGAACCAAACTCCGAGCAGAAGATTTTCCATTGCAATCCTACGATATATCGACTCAATTTATTGATAAAACCATCAAAACACGTGTTGTAATAACCACCAAAGCCATGCATAAATAACATTTCTCCCTAGTTACTTGCAACACACCAACTTTACCCCATATATAAATCCAACAAATTATCAATTTGTCCTTTTCATATGTGTGTGGTAGGGGAGGAGGAGGAGGGGGAAGGTGTTGTTTGTTGTTTGTAAGGGTGGGGATTCATTGGGGTTGCTTGCTGAATATTGGCAGGCGTGGGGTATTTGTTCGACTTTCACTTTCCTAGAAAGGAAGAGAGCATGAGATTTATGTCTCACTGGATAAAGGGTTAATTTAACTAGAAAATTTTCAAAGTATAGAATTTGTCTTATTTTAATTTTTAATATTTCAATTGAATTGTTTTAGTCTCTGAAATATTGAATATATTCTTATGTGGACCCTCAAGCAGATAATATTTAAATTGTTAACAGTTTTTGATCATAAATTTGTTATGTAATACCTAAATATGAGTAAAAAATAATTTGAGTAACTCTTGATCAAAATTTAGGTAATTTTTGACAAAAAAATGTAATATGGATAACTATTGATCAAAATTTGGATAGCTCATGATCAAAACTGTGTAATTTGAATAGCTCTTTAATCAAAATTTGGATAAAAAGTTAGTCGAGAGTCATTCAAATTATTTTTTTATTCATATTTAAATATTACATAATAAGTTTATAATTAAAAATTATTAGCAATTTGAATGTTGTCTACTTGACGGGCCAAATATATTTAATATTTCAGGGACTAAAATGATGTAATTAAAAAATTAGAGATCAAAATAAAATAAATTTTATACTTTAGGGACCTTAAATGTAATTAACCCTTAGATAAATATCACAATTTGTGGAAATTGAAATTTGAGGGAGCGGAGTGAAACTAGTTCAGGGGGCATTTTGTAATTAGCTCTTTTATTTGGTGCTTCCCTGAAATATCAACAAATCCGGTAGAGGGCGGCCCATCGGGCAGAAAGCCAACGGTAGAAGAGCGCTAGCCACTGCCCTCATCTACTTCTCATCTCTCTCTTTCTCTCTGTAGATCGATTAGGTTTTTTTTTTTTTCATTGATGGCGTTAAAGTTTCTGAACAAGAAAGGATGGCACACTGGGAGTCTTCGGAACATAGAGAACGTGTGGAAGGCTGAGCAGAAACACGATGCCGAACAGAAGAAGTTGGAGGAGCTTCGCAAGCAGATCCAGGAGGAGAGAGAGCGCTCCGAGTTTCGTCTTCTTCAGGAACAAGCTGGCCTCGTTCCGTACGCCCCCTCTCTCACTCTCTTTTTCACAAATTTATTTTCTTGCCGATTCTTTTAGGGTTATGGTTCTTTCGTTTAGAAAATTAAAATTCCTCCATTTTTTAATTCTCTATAACTGCAGTAAGCAAGAGAGGTTGGATTTCCTGTATGAGTCTGGCTTAGCTGTTGGAAAGGGCAGTTCTAGTGGATTTAAAGCTCTTGAATCCTTGCCCAAGACCGATTCCGAGGCAGCCTCCTCTTCTTCCTCCAAGGTATTATATTATTCCCATCAAATTGAACGTTAATTTGTTTTTTCTCCCGTTGTGAGACAATCCACTGCTTCGTTCCTCTAAAAAAGTTTCGATTTGTAAGTTTAAATTGCCACGATTTTCGTTAGATGCTGTTTCAAAAGTTTCAGTGACACCATCCCAAAACCAATTACTATCCAGGTAGACTGTGTGAAATGAACTTTGTTCAAGACCTTGATTGAATGCCAAATGGAAAAGTTCTATGCAAGTCTTGTGATCCATGTTGATAAATTATTTTGTAATTGTCCTCTGCAAGCTGCCTGGAGTACTGGATAGTGTTTCACAAAGTTCATGAATTCAAGGGAGATGTTTATAAAGCTTTAAACATGAAATAGACTTTAGCATGTTGCATTTTCAATTGATAAATATTTCATCCTATTGTTGGGAAACTAATGAGTGAAATATCCCATAAGTTAAGCTATGAGAATGGCAAGGAGCAAATGTTTTTTTTTAATATAGTAAATGAAATGTTAGCAAATGTTCTGAACACCAATGATGAAAAGCTTGATTTGGTTTGTTGTGTCAATTGAACAGAATCATGAAGTAAGCAAATACAAATTGCTTTGAGGATGCTCTTGAAAGATTGCCAGTTTGTATTTATAGTTTCAAAAGGCCAAAACAAAAAACTTATAGCTAGATGCTCCCATGGTGCGCAAGAAGGGAAAGGGGACACATCCTGAGGAACACTATTCACCCCATGGCTTGAAATCCATTATCAGTTATACAATCATCTGGTTATGTCATTTTGGACTTTTCTATAACCAAAACTATTGTATTGATTGCCCCCATGATGGCCTTTTTGATCTTATCTGTAAATCCAATCTAAGGAAAAAATGGAAGTTTAATAAAGCTAATTTAGGCGAGTGAAGTAGAAAATTTGTTATAAGATGATGGAAATTTGCATGTAGGTATACAATTTTATGACCCTGAAGTCGCTATGACAGATACAATTGTTTTCAAATATCAAAAAAAAGGTGTTTTTACTGTCATTGATATAATGATATTATCATTACATAATGCCGGCTTTACTGAATTTTCATGTTTAGAGCTAAAAAATATTGGTTTTCTTGTTAAAAGTATAAAAAAGAATTCTAATGGGTCATGTACTTAATTGGGTTCATTTTTGAAGAAGTTGGAATGTTTGATCCATTCGTAAATTCAGAGGACTTGATGGTATTTTGTTGCAAAAAGTAGGAATTAGTTTTTCATAAGCCCTTACAATGATTTTCAAGCATGTGTAAAAGAAAAAAACTTGTTGATTCTGAGCTGGGTATCTCAGTGCGCACAGACTTGAAAGAATTGAATCTATAGGCTTCTTTTAAAATCATTTTCTTAATGATATTTCATGACTGAGACGGAGTCTTCTAATTATTTTTCGACAGTAGGCCCAAGCCTACTCCAACATGTAGCTTGACCCCTACTTTGTCAATCTCATTCCCTCCTACATCCTTTTTCGATAGAAAACAGTAAATATTATCATTATTAATATATAAATCCTATCTAAGGTGGATAAGACATCGAACCCAAAGATAGATAAAGCTTGAGATATTGCTTGACTATTATATTTGATTTTGCTGTTCGACTATAGCCTATTTGGTTATTTTGTTAGTAGACAGTACTAAATACTTAAGTACTGATATTAATATAAAAAATTCTTTCATTTGTGTTGAAATGGACCCTTATTTGAACATTTCATATGTGGTGTGTAATATTTTCTCAGCAGCAACAACCAGCTGTGCCAGGAGCTTTATTTGAGGAGAAGCCACAATCTGCCAATGATACTTGGAGGAAACTCCATTCAGATCCTTTGCTATTAATTCGGCAGCGGGAGCAAGAAGCCCTTGCTCGTGTAAAGAACAACCCAATCCAGATGGCCATAATTCGCAAATCTGTGAGTTTACTTTAAATAGGAATGTTCAAGTTCATATTACTGAGTTGTTAGATTTGAAACCAATGTTTGGGTATATTTTGAAGATGGGATAAATAATGATAGCTCTTAATTTTCACGAATCAAAACAGTTTTCGACAGGTAACTAAGTATGTATAGAGCTCGACATTGTTTTCTTTAACTTGTGAGCCCATATTTTGATGCCTTTGGATATCTCCTTGAGTCCTTCCGCCAAACACTTCACAAGAGGAATTAAAGGGAACATTCATGAGCTCAGTTGTGGAGGAATTAAGAAATATTGTTTTGATGTCTTTGAATCTTTTCCTAGAGTCCTTTTGCATGACACTTCACAATTTTGAACCGGTTCATACTGAAACCTATTCCCGGCTTGCTAGTGTTCCTTCACTGGCAAGAGGAAAGGATTCAAGATCCCGAGACAAGAAGGGGTGAAGGTACTACATATAAGCCTTCAATCCCAACATTGGGCTGCTTTGCACACCTTCCTTGTACTTTTTCCTGTGTGCTACCCCCAATCAACAACCCAAATACTTTCCAACTTATCGGGGTCTCACTGCCTGAACAACTGGGAGGGATGGAAACACAATCCCTAGTAGATCTCCAATGCAATAAGAGATGTTTAAGTCCTCATAACAAATCTATGAAGGTCATAACGTTTTGGGTTCAGTAGGAATCGCGGCTTTATCGTAACCAGGGAATTAACTTTTCCACCATGTTTTTCTAGTAACACTATATCATTCTGTAATAATCCTCGAGATGTCTAAGTGCTCTACTCTTCATACTTTTCCACAGTCCCCCATGCAAACCCCTACCTCCTTAATGGATTGGCCATCTATGGATCTTCCATTTCTAACATCCCCTGCATAATTGTGTATCTCCCTCTTACTCTTTAATGGCGCTTGTTTGAAAACATGGAATTTGGTTTACCAAAACCTCTTAATTTAGGAGAAATAAACAGCATCACAATCGACCAAATTTTATGTGATTTTAGATCCCTTGCCTTCCCACAGAAAGTCTATTTGGAGCTTTTTTGACATTTTACAATTGGCAACCAATCTATAAAATCTGGAGACACAATGGTTGGCATACTAGAGTAATTGTTTAAGTATTGGTGATGCAGTGGACATTGCTTTTATACAAAAAACGTTTCCAAAGGAAACCTAAATTCAGATTTTGGATCCCATATAAACAGTTCTGATAACCAGGCAGCTATGCAGCCTATGCTAGTATGCTTGCTCCTATGGACCTGGTGTTTCTCACTATATTTTGGTAGATTTTTTCTTTGTAGATTTCATCTGATTAAAGATAGATTTTTTTCGTCTTTCTTTTCATGAAATCTGCATCTTAGATGAAATATTTTTGACATATTGGAGCTAGCACCAAATTTCATTGTCTTAGTGACATGTACGGTATCGGTATGTAGTATTGTACTTTTTCCGATACATGGTGTGATGGGAGTAGACTTAGTTGTTACATTGTTTTGGGTCGTGGTTCATTTTGTAACTCTTATCCATATCATGTCACTATGAAATTATAGTGTTAACTCATGCTTATTTCATATTTCTGATAAGAGTTCGAAGACAAATAAAATCCAAGAAATAATAAAAGTTAGTGGTTGCAAATTTGTATTATAAAAAAATTCAAGTTCACACAAATCAAAATACGAGTTTAAAGATCACCAAATAATAGAAATAGCAATTTAGAACTACAATTGGGGGCTAGGGTAGTAACTTGGGATTACTGGATCATAATTTGACTTGGGGTTTGGGTTACAATTTGGGGTTGGAGCTTCAAGTGATCTGTTTTGGGTCATGCGACCTCGGTTTGTGGAACGCAAGAGGTATTCATGATCTCATTATCTATGGTCTCGCCTATGTAGAATGTAGGGGAGAAGAAGATTGAAAGAGTGAGCTCAGTTTTGGGGCTAGTGTTAGGCAGTTAAGGTTGAGATTTTTGTCTTCGTGAGTGTGTGCTTTTGTGTGTGTCTCTCTCTGTGTTGTGAGAGTGAGAGAGAAATATTACATGATTGGTCTTCCATTAACAAAATGACAGAAAAGAGGTCCGTTGAGAGTTCCGGAGGGGGCTGTGAAGGGGATCTGCTATCATGAGGCACCCTTTTGTACGGTTTAATTCGGTTCTGTAACGTTTGTTTGAATTCCCATATCTTCATTTGAGTGGAGGGATGGCTAATCCTGCTGTGAGGGTCTAACTATTGTTTTCGAATGCTATCTTGGCTTCTTTGGCAAGTCAACCAAGGACTAGGCTGGATTCCTGAAATACTGTTCTGCTCTACTGCTCATTCTTGTGAACTGAATCTAGTGTTACTTTCTCACTATTTCAATACTCCATTTCTTTTGTTTATTCATCCTCTGCGTCCTCTCGGTATTTCATGTGATGGTGTAAGCAATGCTTATCAGTTTTGTGATAAATCTACTACAGTTTTTGTGTCTATGTTGTTATTTTTTAACAACATTAAGATGTACTTGTTTAGAACTTTTGGAATACTTGCTTTAGGCAAATTATGCCGCCATTGTAGAGCTTAGGGTTTGCTTGTTTGAGTCACTGATTCATTCTGTAGAGTAACCAATTTGAATGAATTGGAAAAAACAGAAAAGAACATGAGATCAATTACAGCCATGTCGATTCATATGCTTCTTTGTGGACTCTCACATGTCAAGAGTGAAGTACTGAAATAATTTTGGTTGCATTAAGGTTGGCTGAACAAAACGTGTATGTTAATGGTAGTGGTTGGGTATGCAGTTGAAAGACTATGGATGCAGGCTTAGTGCTGTTTATAGCTGTGGTACAAGTCCACCCTTTTCTAATGCCTTTTCCACATGGAAGCTGTTGCTGACAGTGTCATGTGCAACAATTGCTGCTTGCAGGTTGAAGCAAAGAAGCACAAGGAGAAGTCCCATGACGGAAAAGAACACAGGAAGAAGCATCACCACAAGAAGTTAAAGAATTCATCATCTAAGCACCATTCCGACCCTGAAGATGGTGATGTTAAAGGGGATAAACATAGAAACACCAGTGATCACAAGCACTCAAAATATGACGAAACTTTGTACAAAGCAGCTCCAAACTTGATAGAAGAATCAAGTGGGAGGGATATTCAAAGAAAAAAGAATACTGACAAGGACTCAAAGTACAAAGAGCGGCGACCCACTTCCATGTCAGATCGGACAAATGAAAGAATCGAAAGTCAATATAGAAGCAAGAGGTATCGTGACAATTCTGAAAGTGAAAATCGTTATTCAGAAAGGCAGGTGGAATCTGATTATGCTAAAAGGAGGGAAGACAGACAATTTCGTCAAGCAAGTGGTTCTTCTGATATGCCACCCCAGACTGAATCACATCATAAACGGCGGCATCCCATTAAAATTTCCGAAGAAGAAAGAGCTACCATGCTGCGGGAGATGCAAATGGATGCCGAACTACATGAAGAGCAAAGATGGAAACGGCTAAAGAAAGCCGAAGAAAATGATGTTCAGGAAGCTACACGCGGGCACACGGCTGGTGGCAAAAATTTCTTACATGCTGCTCAAAAAAGCATCTATGGTGCTGAGAAGGGCGGAAGCTCCACAATAGAGGAGAGCGTTCGTAGAAGAACGCACTATTTGCAGGGAAAATCAGAAGTTGAAGGCAATGCATTTCGGCGATGAAGAGACGGCGTGTTTTATTTTACCAGGCTCGCTTATTCACATTTCTGTAATAAAAAAGGATTCACTAAACATGTGTGCAATGACAATTTGTTTCAAATGATTGTTAATATCTGCATACATACCAATCATATGATCAGATACTCTCTAATTGTGTTCCCAAAGGATTGGAATGCAGGAACTGAATTGTTCATAGTCAGTTATAGTCGAGTCTTATACTTGTAGATGAGCCTGCGAGGAGTACTCAAATCAGGGTAGTCCTTCCAGATGCCATTGCAGCACTGCAAATTGCCTGGCTTTTGTTAATTGTCATTACGCAAGGCAAGGGATCCCCTCATCTTTTAAAGTATTGGACATACTGATATGATTCAATTGATGCCTATCCAACTCGGGACCTTTAGATCCAATGCCATTCTACATTGCATGTAAATAATGAGTCTCATGCGACTCAACCGTGTTGTTTGTGTTGTCTTTGAGTCGAGTCTGAGTCTAAGTTGTTTGGGTCATTATCATCGAATTGGCTGTTATCGGAATGATTATCATTGAATTGACTGTTATTGACTTACCATTCCGTGATGCTGTGATACAGTCCGAGTGAAACTACTTCTTACATATGGCATTTTGTGCGTACCACACGATATTATTTTGCAATGCATTGACAAATGCGTCACAGTGCTTTCTAAGTCAATAGTCGATTTCTTGACCTTGAACTCTGGATCCTATTCTCCATGCATCAAGGATTATACACATCAATGAAATTTGCTGTACTTTCCCTATAAAAATATATACTTTTGCTGTTTTTTTGTCTATGTCAGAGTTGACCAGACATGCAATTTCCTGAAATGCTTGAGGGAGATTTTTGGGGTTTATCCTTGATGGGGACAAAACATCTCTATAATTCTTTGAAAATGAGAAGGGCTGACCAACAAAGGATGTGGGATCCTCATTTTGATGTCTCTTGAAAGAAGCTGAGGAACAGTTCTGTGTGAGCTACAAGAATAGCCAATCAATTCTCCTAACAATGTAACTGTCATGTGTCCTATCTCATCTAGTTTATATAGAGCTCTTTATGGGAAAAGTGTAGGGATGTTAGTGGACGGAGGAAAAGCGAGGATTCGTTCAAACTTGTCTCGTTCGAATTGGAGATGGAGCATACGTATTAGACGGTAGACGTATACAAAGATACTAGTATAAATTCTTGCGGGGATAGATGTGGGAATGGATTGAAATTTATCCCCTAGAATGTTGTTATAATGAATTATGTTGTAGACCAACTTTTAATTTTATTAGTATTATTGCTATTGTTTTTGCTCAATTATGTCAACTTTTATTTCTTTATATTAGTTTTTGATTATATCATGTGATACATGCATACAGTGATACAACTAGTACTTTAATTGTTACAATTTTTTTTCTTAAAATCACATAAATTAATTGTAATAGGCGGGACAGGGACGGAGATTAAAACTTTTCCCGTTAACGGAGTGGACCGGAGGTGGACGAACTTTTTTTAAGTAGATACGGGGGTGGAGACTACTCCTCTCCCCCCCCCCCCCTCCCCCGCCTCAATCCACTGCCATTCCTAGATAGGTGGAAGGGTAAAACCGAAACTCTTTTGATCTTTTACTTTGGAATCCATCCTCATTGCAGAAATTTTGAGCCTTAATCAATTTCCTGTTGAACAAAACATGAAGTACAGGTTTTTGAACTTGATTCATTGATCTCTTTGAACTAGATTCATCGATATTATACTCGATCAACCAAAAAATCTCTGAATTAATTTTCACCTGTTGTATATATCAAACTGATCAATGAACTGCTATTTCAGTAGAGGTCAAGGAATAACATTAATAACTGAAGCCACCAACAAGGGAGCATTTTTCAAAATTAGTACATCAATGCAATTTTTAACACCTCCAATCCAAATAATATTTATAAATCAACGGCAAAGCTGCATACATTAGCCTAAGAATGTCTAAGTCTTGATCTTCATTGCTTGAGTGCGTTAATTAATTTGAGCTGGTCACCAATTTTCTGTAGCTGAAACAATTACATCAAGCTATTTTGCGAAAAAACTATCTATCAGAAACCAGGCCCTATAGTTCCAAACCTGACTCACACTCTAAAGTAGGCAATAGCTAAAACCATGCATGTAGTATGGTCTGATAATTGGTTTGGACACATACAAAGAAGTCCAGGTTTTATACTGTTGGTTTGGCTTCTTAGACAGGACTATCACCATTGAGATACTTAAAATGAGAGAGGGATTTCGAGACAGCCCATGTTGCATCTCCACATTGAAGTAGGAAGAAAGCTCGAGATGGCACCAAGAATAAGGATCATTTTAATCAACTCGACCAAGAAACACAACCAGGCCAACTGTGAGCCGGCTGCAATTGGAATGGCTTATTTGAAATCGGAACAGAAACAAATTCCATTGTGCCAAGTGCCTAAACAAGAAGTATGCTGATAACTGAGTTTTAGATGTCTTCCCGAATATTGGATGATGGAGGGTCGGTATCGGTCAAGAGTCCAGGTGCAAATTTTCTGGACCATCATTAGAATTGTAATTCAGCTAGTTCTTTTAGATCATATGAGCTTTTTTTTTTCTTCCTATTATCCATCCTGGTTTGTACTTGGTGCAGGTTTGTAAGTTTAACCTCTCTAACATAAGGTCAATGGACCTAAGTTTTGTTTCTCCAAGTTTTGGTACATAACTACAAGTGGGTAATGTTTTATATAATTTTAAATGCCGAGTAGATAAAGTATTTCTAGCCGAAACCATAGGGAGATAAAAAACAATTAACCCTTGTATTTATTGGAAAACAAATCTAATATAATCAAATTTTCAAGTACATCATCAATTGGACTATTTAGAATCCAATTAAAAATTTTGGTAATTGAGTGACATTTTTAAAATAAATATTTTAATGATAGGAATGATCAAAATTTTTATTAAGTAGAAAAGAGTACATTATTTTGGATGAGAAGTAATAAAAAAATCAGGACAATCCTCTCTCCAAATTCAAGGACTCATGCAATTTTTCACAAACTTAGCTAAATAAGTAGCCACCGAATTCCCATCTCTATGAATCCATGAAACTGAGTAATCAACAAACCCATCAATATAATTGTTAATTTGATCAAGAAATTTTCTCCTCTGATAAATCCGAAGTTCCCTTTTTCAAAGCATCTGTAACTAGCTTCGAATCGCCTTATAGAACTGTTTCTCCATAACCTGAGTTTGCTGCTAATTTAATGGATGTTGTCGTTGCCAATGCCTCCACATGATCAAGTTTAAGAAGTCTTTGGATCCTTTGGGAATATCCCTGAACAAAGGAACCATTCCAATCCCTAACAACAACACCAATACCAGAAAAATCCTCAGACTCAAACTCAAACACAAACTCAGCAAAACTTAATTTAATAGCACCAATCGAAGGGCAGACAACTTAGCAACCACTGAATCTGTGTTGTAATTCAGCCAGTTCTTTTAGATTATATGAGCTTTTTTTTTCTTCCAATTTTCTATCCTGGTTTGTACTTAGTGCAGGTTTACAAGTTTAACCTCTCTAACATTGTGTCAATGGACCTAAATTATGTTTCTCCAAGTTTTATAATGCCATCTTCAATAGTACCATGAGAAGGATTTGATTTTCTCCGTCAACTAAAACCAAAAATAACATTAACGGCTAATGAAGAAAATTTTGTCATACCAACAGCGCGATGAAATGAGTTGAGTTCCAAGCAAGATACGTATAATCAATGCAAAAAAAGCAAGATGCACAATCCGCCAAGAAGCTAGAATTGAAGAAGCATAGGAGCATGCATATCTTTGGCTAGCCAACTCAAACTGTGGGGGCATCAAAAACACAAACACAAGAAGAAAACCAGAAAGAAATCCACCATTATGAGCAAACTTTTATACGTGGGAGGAAACCTGTGCTACACCAATAAAAATGATGACCACAAAAGGCAGTAAAGCTGTAACCAGAATATACAACCAGTACATTTTAAGATGACTCAAAGTTGATATTTGAATTATGAGACACTAGAGAGGTCTCAGATTTTCAGGAAAGCCAAAGAACGAGCAGGGCCATATGCAGCCTTGACTGGTAATTCTATGGAACTAAAATTGGTTCCCAACGGAAGCAATCAGAGGCACAGGCAAGTGTATGGTTACCACTTCATTTGACTCTCAGATTTAAGTTATTCTTACAGAAGTGAATCTATTCAAAAGTCAGCTAAGACAATTGATAGAAGCAAATAATTAAAGACCACACTTCGACAATGTATGAAACCAAACCAAAGGGCACATACGTTTTTGCGCAATGCTGCCGAGCACACCAAGTGCCACATCCCAAAGAGATTTAATCTCAATAACAAGACTGAAGAGCATGGAGATTCAAAATACAGGACTACCTATGTTTTAAAATGAGAGAGGGATTTCAATAGTTACTCACCAGGCACGAGACAGCCCATGTTGCATCTCCACATTGAAGTAGGAAGAAAGCTCGAGATGGCACCATGAATAAAGATCATTTTAATCAACTCAACCAAGAAACATAACCAGGCCAACTGTGAACCTGCTGCAATTGGAATGGCTTATTTGAAATCGGAACAGAAACAAATTCCATTGTGCCAAGTACATAAACAAGAAGTATGCTGATAACGGAGTATTAGATGTCTTTCCCGAATATTGGATGATGGAGGGTGCGGTATCAGTCAAGAGTCCCGGTGCAAATTTTCTGGACCATCATTAGAATTGTAATTCAGCTAGTTCTTTTAGATCATATGAGCTTTTTTTTTTTTCTTCCTATTATCTATCCTGGTTTGTACTTGGTGCAGGTTTACAAGTTTAACCTCTCTAACATAAGGTCAATGGACCTAAGTTTTGTTCCTCCAAGTTTTATAATGCCAACTTCAATAGTGCCATGAGAAGGATTTGATTTTCTCTGTCAGCTGAAACCAATAATAACATTAATGGCTAATGAAGAAAATTTTGCCATACCACTAGTGCGATGAAATCTATTGAGTTGGAAGCAAGATATGCATAATCAATGCAAAAAACCAAGATGCACAATGTGCTATGAAGCTAGAATTGAATAACCTTAGGAGCATGCATATCTCTGGCTAGCCAACCCAAATTGTGGGCGAATCAAAAACGCAAACGCGAGAAGAAAACGAGAAAGAAATCCACCGTTATGAGCAAACTTGTATATATGTAGGAGGAAACCTCTGCTACACTGATAAAAATGATGACCACAAAGGTAAGTAATGCAGCTACTTGAATATACAACCAGTACATTTTAAGATGATTCAAAGTCGATAATTGAAATATTAAAAACTAGAGAGGTCTCAGATTTTCTGGAGAGCCAAAGAATGAGCAGGTTTTTTTTTTTACACAAAAAAATTAAAAGTGCACTAAAGAACGAGTGGGGGTTCTAAATTAGCATAGATAGTCTAATTAGGGGTTAGTTCAAAAAGCACCGACATAAATATTAGACTAGATGAACATAGCCAACAACAAACTCCCACCAAATCTAGAGGTGAGACGTAGCAAACAAAAACATACTACAGAACGGGGCCATATGCAGCCATGACCGGTAATTCTATGGAACTAAAATTGGTTCCTAATGAAAGCAATCAAAGGCACAGGCCAGTGGACGGTTACCACTTCATTTGGCTCTCAGATTTAAGTTAGTCTGACAGACGTAAACCTATTCATAAATCAGCTAAGATATTGATAGAAGTAAATAAGTAAAGAGGACACTTAGACCATGTATGCAATCAAACCAAAGGGCACATAAGTTTTTACATAATGCTGATGAGCACCTAGTGCCACGTCGCGAAGAGATTCAATCTCAATAACTAGACCGTAGAGAGAATGCTGCCAAAGAAAAACTGAACCACCATTTGAACAAAGACAATTACTTTAAAAACAAGAACGTTATGAGACTATTTAGAAAAATTATTTGGTCTCCTTGATAATGTTGGGTCCTAGAACATCATCTCATGTCTCAAAATATTTTTGTTTCTTTTTCTATCAGACTTAACCAAAATAAAGTTCTCAGAGCTTACTCAATGATGAAGGATCAGAGAAACAACTAGGAGTACGCACGACAGAGTCTTATACTTAGGTTTTGCTGAAATTGAAGAATTTACAGAGGAGCATGCTTTAACTAACCACTCAAACTGCGGGCGGATAAAGAACAGAAACCCAAGAAGAAAACCAGAGAAAAATCCCTTATTATGGGCAAAGCTGTATGAATGTTATAGGACTAAAACTCATGGAGAATTATAGAACCAAGATTGCACACATAAAAAAGTTCCTAATGGAGGCAATCAAAAGTTTGTGCAAGCAGATGGCCACTACTTCATGTGACTCTCGGTTTTAAGTCAGCCTAGTACATGTAAACCTGAATATAAATCAGCTAAGATAAGTGAAGTAGTAAATAGTGCACTTCAACTAAAACCATATAAAGGGCATAACTTTTTTTTGCATAATATTCCACCGGAAAGACCAGAACACATAACATAGGCAAGAAGATGGGATCTAACAAACCAAAACATAATATAGAAGGAGGCAAGAAGCTGCAAGGATTTTAAAAGCTAAAAGATTCTGAAGGTTACAACTTAAGTGCAGCTAAAAATGTGACCAATTGAAAATTATGCACATAAAAATTTGCTAATGGAGGCAATCAAAAACAAACACAAGCAAATGACGATCACTTCATATGACTCTCAAATTTAAGTCAGTTCAACAATTGTAAACTTCTTCATAAATCATCCAAGAAAATTCAAATAAAACCAAATGTGCACAACCAGAGGGCATGTATGCTTTTCTGCATACTAGTCCACCAGAAAGACCAATTAAGTTGAAGTTAGGATTGCACAAAGCTGAAACCTTACAAAGAATATTTACCATCCAAAATTGCAGGCAGCGCCTGCTGAAATCCTTTAGGAATTGGCTGGCAGCCAACGAGTAACAAACTACATGGAGCCAAGCTAAAAAGTACTTGCTTCAAATCAATGTCAGTAATTGTCCCTACTGTGTACCAAAGAAAAATATTCACAGTTACTGGTAATCTAACTCTAGTAATCATAGGTTAGTCAGATTTTGGACACCAGATGGGTTCGGCAAGCCTCTTCCTGATCACCATTCGGCAGCTCTTCCTGATCACCATGCAGCAGCTCAGCAAGGAATTCTCTAGCGATACCATCCCAATTTGTATTATCCGGCATAAATAGGTCAGTGTAATCCCATGTTTCCAGAGCAGGCAAGCAACATTCTTCTGATATTGGAGACTCCGCTGCACAAGGCATGACATTACTTTGTATATGACATTCGAACCCGATTTTTCCACCACAATATAAAGCACCAGCACCTAATTCCGGTGCCACTGATGCATCTGTGATGGATCCACATTGCGCAACTGGTGTTGTCCCCATGTTATTATTACGGCTCATGTATTCCTCATACTGATATCCTTCAAGTTGGACCACTGAAAGGCTCGGCTCATTGTTGATTGCCAGCTGGGGAACAACTTCACTACCATCTTCTGCTAAAGGCAGCCATGATACTATTTGGCACTTGAAATTCTGCAGACCCATCTCGTCAAGAATATAATGCCCCAAATTCAGGGGTCACTGCCGTGCTCATGTGTTGTTGATATGGACATCCTTCAAACTGGGCAACAGGGACACCCAATACAATCTGCTCGTATGGTAGCAACAGAGCAACTTCATAATGATAATGATCTTCCGCTAACATGGCAAACAAGTCACCCTCTATTAGTTGTTGAAAGTTGTCCTGTGACTGTGAGTGATTGGTTTGTGGTGGTTTCTTTTTCTTGATGCGGCAAAGAACATAGTCTTTGAACAAAACTCTTCCACTGTTCAATGTAGAGTCAGGAAGGCTATACTCAGTCATGTTGTATCCGAGTTTGGCCTTGGTCTTTGTGATCTTGTAAACAAAGTTTCTGTTCAATCCGATTATATAATCTTTAAATAATCTCCAAACAAAAATTTTAATTTTATTGGGGATTCTCAGATACCAAATGAAATTGCCACAGCATCTCTCATTGCTATTACTTGGTGCCATGAAGACCACGATCATAATCAAATGGTAAGCACTCTTGACTGATAAATGGCTAGAATTAGAGTCAGGATGCTTTGCTAGTGGCCAAAATTGTTTAGCCAACATAGCAAGATTAAAAGCCCCTAAATATTTAAATCCCATACCTCCACAGGATTTTGCAACACACATTTTATCCCAAGCTATCCAATGTATTCTTCTATCCCCACCAAAAGTTAGCGACCATACTATTGATTTCCATACATAGAGAAGAAGGCAATCGAAAACATGACATTGCATATGTTGGAATAGCCTTTACCAATGCCTTAATAAGAATTTCTTTTCCAGTAGTAGATAACAATTTTTCCTTCCACATTGAATCTTATTAAGGACCAAAAGTTAAACAGATCTGTTTTGTTAGTTTGTTATTACAAGTAGTTCTTACAAAAGATCGAACTAATGACTGGAGACAGAAATATAGAAATGTATAGTGAGTGGTTCACTACAAGAAATTGGATATTTAGCAGCAGAAATTATCGTGGCTAAATGTATAAAAATTATCACTATATGTATTAGTGACAATTTTTTTATTGCCACTAGACCCGGTGGCTAAATAATTTAGCTATGACATTTCAATATTGTCATTGAAAGTAAAATTTTTAGCCGCAATACCAAAAATGACACTAAATATGAAACATTTAGCTACAATAATTATTGTAGTAATTTAAGGTAATTTTGCCACTAAAATATATCACGCCGCCACTAAAAGAATGATAAATTTGTTGGGGAAGATGAATATTTTTTGACAAAAAAAGTCCAAAAGTCAATAACACGCAAATAAAAAAGATCAAAAAAAGACTAATTAGTAATTACAATTCTTTAAAAATGTGAGACTAATCATGTTTTTTGCAACTTACTATATAAGTTTTTATATTTGAAAGTATTCCACAATAAATTTATTTTCTAGGTTATGAAAAGTATTTTTTTTGTACAATCAAATTCTCAATCATCCATTCGTTTTGCAACTTATTTTTCACAATATTTAATTTTAATTTTAATTTTTTTAACAAATTATCATCTAAGATTAAAATTAAAGCATTAAACAAAAATTTAAATAGTAGAGATAATAATACGATTGAAACTCAGCTCAAACAAAATAATTATCAGGCAAAGAAAAATAGAAACGATCAGCCATACAAAAATCAATTTCAATTTGATATTAAGAACATAGAACAAAAAATTTCATAAATATGCAAACCAAGAACAAAAAAATTCATAAATATGCAAACCAAAACTAATTGAAAAGAGTTTTAATAAAATAAAAATGATTACACATGTATTTATTGACCTATCGTAAAATTATTTTAATAGAAAAGTATAATTAAAGTACATAAGTAATAAGGTTGGCACAATACAATAGATGTTCATAATGTTTTACAGATATATTTGTATATATACTAAAAAAAAACTAAAATAATGTGGCTAAATCAGGATCTCCCTGGCCCTTAAGTAGATCTGCCAATGGCCATGCAATTGGTTGATACAATTATTATGGAACGCTTTGATACGATCTCAATCTTTTGTCATCTTCAGCTTCTTCTTCAATATAACATGTTGAGAGTATGGTCCGAAAAAATTTTGTGCCATCACTAATAATGCTTCTTATTGCCCTATGAATTGATACCACGATCTTGAACCACATTTTTTCGAAAATTGGTCGTAGAAGTTAGTTATTCTTAGGAATCCAAATTTTGATGCAACATTGAGAATTAGCTATTCTTGTATAATGAAGAATGCTTGATTTATCATCTATGAAGGAAGAGGATAATAGAACCATCAACACCGAATTCGAGGCTTCACCACTCTTTTGAATCAACGCAAACAGATAATTAGGGTCAGAGTGGCTCCATCACGGCTCAAAGACTTAATTATGACAAATTTAGTTATAAAATTCAATGTGCAATATGAGACTTTTAATCGGTCTTTAATCTTTGAGGGATAAATGCGAATGGGTGTAAGTCTCGCTGCTTAGAAAGACACAGTGCTGACTTGACTACACTGAGAGACATGAAAGTGCAAGTACTGCCAATTCGATTCAGCTTACGCTGACCATGCTTAAGAGAAGCAATACAAAAGGATTTAGATCCCCTTGAATTGAGATTTTTTTTTTTTTTTGGGAATTTGAATGTAGGAAGAATTTGGATTTACAAAGAAAATGGAAAAAGAAGAAAGACATCTTCACCAGCAAAACTACAACTCAATGAATTGACATTATTCTGAGGCATTCACTCTTCAAAATATAGCTTCAAGAGAATCTAAACATTAAACAAAAAGAAATAGCAAGTGTTCCACCTCATATGTGAACCACATCACGCTTAACTCAAGTTTTACAACTACGACAAATTTGTTTACAGAGTTGTCATTGCAGCACTTCAAAGTTTCTAGCTTTTGTTAGTTGTTTTTACCCAAAGCATGGGATACTCTTGTCATATACATCAAGGATTATACACATCAATGAAATTAGATCTACTTGCCGGAGAAAAAATGTTTGCATTGCCTTATATTTTTTTTTTAACTCAACACAAAGTAGACCAACTGCGAATTCCCAAGGAAGTCATAAATTGTGACAGGTTTAAGGAGATGTTTGGGGTGTATCCTTGATGGGGACAAAAGAGATCTGAAATTCTATGAATGCTGGATCCTCACCCTGATGGCTGATGCCTATTGAAAAAAGTCGAGGGACCAGTGAAAGTGAATGTGTGAGGTCTTTTGATTCCAGTATAATCTAGTATATAGCTATTTTGGCCAAAATTAAGCTAATCTTGTCTGAATATGCTCTATAATTTTAGCATTTATTATTGCCAAAATGAGATAATATTGCCTGAAAGCTTCTACGTATGCTTTGGAAGAAAAGTGTTCCTGTACTGAGCACTGCTCGCAAAGAGCTCTAGTTTTGCTACGGATAAATAAACAACCATGGCATGATATATGATTTCCAGACCTTGGTTTATCATGCATCTCTCTTCAATTATCAACCACTGCAAGTCTGCTTAATGAAACGTTATCTCTCAACAATTTATAGCTATTAAAAAGATAGAAAATGATGGTAGAAGCTAAAAACAGTTTTGTCTTTCAAGCCAAACTTCAGTGGCCTTCGATTTGCTTGATATATTTGTTTCCAGCCCGAGGGAAAGCCATTAGCTAGATTGTCATGACAATTTATAGAACCCCAAATTGACTTGATTTAGTGTTGGAGCATAAGTCGTTATCACATAGCAAGAACCAATGAACAAGACAATGAATGCCCCTTATACGATGTTCAATGCACAAGACTTGATCTGAAGCCAGAGACACTGCAATTTGATGTTCATATCATAGAATAGTGGCTGTTTACCAAATTCTGGACTTAAATCTCTTTCCTGTTAAACAAAATATCAAGTAAACGAATGACATCTTTGAATTGAATTTATTGATATTACACAATCCACCAAAAACAAAAAAAAAACACATTCAATTCCTTTTCAACAGCTGTATGCATATCAATCAAAACAATGAGCTACTATGCCCACAGAGAATACTGTGTATTTATACTCGGAAGCAACTTGTACCACTGCCAATCCATTTTTTTGTACAGATAAGTGGCAAATCTGTGAACAGAGTCCCTGCAACTGAGAACTGGTTGCATCTAACAATGCATTTGTCTTGCTTTTCCATTGCTTGAGCACGTTAGTGTGCGGCGGCCACCAAGTTGCTCAGGGTGAAAGAATGGCCTCGAGCCAAGTAAACGAATGACATATTTGAACTGAATTTATCGATATTACACAATCCACCAAAAACAATAAAAAAACACATTCAATTCCTTTTCAACAGCTGTATGCATATCAATCAAAACAATGAACTACTATGCCCACAGAGAATACTGTGTACTCGGAAGCAACTTGTACCACTGCCAATCCAATTTTTTTTACAGATAAGTGGCAAATCTGTGAACAGAGCCCCTGCAACTGAGAACTGGTTGCATCTAACAATGCATTTGTCTTGCTTTTCCATTGCTTGAGCACCTTAGTGTGCGGCGGCCACCAAGTTGCTCAGGGTGAAAGAATGGCCTCGAGCCAAGTAAACGAATGACATATTTGAACTGAATTTATCGATATTACACAATCCACCAAAAACAATAAAAAAACACATTCAATTCCTTTTCAACAGCTGTATGCATATCAATCAAAACAATGAACTACTATGCCCACAGAGAATACTGTGTATTTATACTCGGAAGCAACTTGTACCACTGCCAATCCAATTTTTTTTACAGATAAGTGGCAAATCTGTGAACAGAGCCCCTGCAACTGAGAACTGGTTGCATCTAACAATGCATTTGTCTTGCTTTTCCATTGCTTGAGCACGTTAGTGTGCGGCGGCCACCAAGTTGCTCAGGCTGAAAGAATGGCATCGAGCCAATTCACATAACCTCTATTTATCTAACGGATCCAAGGCAAACATGAGTCCTATACTCACTCCTGCTTCAGCTAAAAGATCGTGCTTATATGAGGAACAAAATCAAAGAAAGAAACAAGTTTAGACTGCTGCTTTGGCTAATTATTTTAGCCAAGTGAAACTTGCACAATACGAAGATCATATCAGACTCCAAAAAAAACCTTAGTAGAAAAACATGCATTCATCCAGTTTTTAGGGAAGGGATTGCCCTGCTTTGTTATGCAACAAATATAAAGGGAAGTCCAGGTTTTAGAAAGCTCAGATTCTAAGATAGGAGGCGAATTCACTAGGGATGAGAAATGCACATGCCTAGCATGAAGGAGGCTGTGCTGTAACTCCACCTCAAAGTAGAAAGAAAACTTGAATAATGGCATAATCATTCCAACCATGAACCTGCTACAATTGGAATCACTTAATTGAAAGTTGAACAGAAATAAATTCTATTGTGCTAGGTAGATAACTAAAGCATATCAATCAATATTAGCCAATGGAGGGTGCAGGATTAATCAGTGTCTAGGCGCATATTTTCTCGACAATCATTAAAATTGTGTTCAATTACTAATTTTAAATCACATTAATGATCTTTTATTGTCTTAGTAACTATCCCTAGATTGTACTTGGTGACAAGTTTAACTACTACATCATACTGTCAATGGACCTGAATAAAGTTTCCTAAGTTTTACGGTGACACCTTTAATACTGAGAAGTGAAGGATCTGGTGTTCCTAGCAGCTGAAACCAGATTAACATTAAAAGCTTCTGGTTATAAGATAATTTTCTCACACCTGTAGGTGGAACAAATCTGTTGAGTTGCAAGGAAGATGCATAATGGAACTTGTGAGGGGATGGACTTCTTATTTAACCAACCGACTGGATGAACAGAAGGACTACTGGAGTTGTGCCTCATAACTTCACTAATAGTGGAAAAATAACTATCAGATAATGAGATCAAATGTGTGAACTATAAAGTAACATGGACAGCAGAACTTTATAAGACTATTAAGAAAAGTTACTTGGTCTCCTTGATAATGTTGGGGCCTAGAACACCTTGGGGCCTAGAACATCAAGTTCTTATGTCTCAAAATATTTTTTTTTCTTTTTCTATCAGACTTAACCAAAATAAAGGTCTCAGAGCTTACTCAATGATCAAGAAACAGAGAAACAACTGGGAGTACACATGACAATGTCTTATACTTAGGTTTTGCTGAAATTGAAGAACATACAGAGGAGCATACTTGAACTAACCACTCAAACCATGGGGGGATAAAAACAGAAACCCAAGAAGAAAACCAGAAAGAAATCCCTTCTTATGGGCAAATTTGTATGAATGTTGTATGACTGAAACTCATGGAGAATTATAGAACAAAGATTGCACACACAAAGAAGTTCTTAATGAAGGCAATCAAAAGTGTGTGCAAGCAGATGGCCACCACTTCACGTGACTCTCGGTTTTAAGTCAGTCTAGTACATGTAAACCTGATTATAAATCAGCTAAGACATTGATAGAAGTAGATAAGTAAAGTAGTAAACTGCACACTTCAACTAAAATCATATGTGTACAACTGAAGGGTACATTCTGTTGTGCATAATATTCCACCAGAAAGACCAGAACACAAAACATTGGCAAGAAGATGGGATCCAGCAAACCAAAACATAATATAGAAGAAGGCAAGAAGCTTCAAGGATTTTAAAAGCAAAAGGTTTCTGAATGTTACAACTTAAATGCAGCTAAACGTGACCGATTGAAAATTATGCACATAAGAATGTGCTAATGGAGGCAATCAAAAGCACAAGTAAGCAAATGGCGATCACTTCATATGACTCTCAAATTTAAGTCAGTTCAACAATTGTAAACTTCTTCATAAATCATCGAAGAAAATTCAAATAAAACCCTATGTGCATAACCAAAGGGCACGTATTCTTTTCTGCATACTAGTCCTCCAGAAAGACCATACAAAATTGCAGGCAGCACCTGCTGAAATACTTTAGGAATTGGCAGCCAATGAGTAGCAAAGATCATGAAGCCAAACTAAAAAAGTACATGCTTCAAATGTAAGTCTACTAATTGTCCCTACTGTGTACCAAAGACAGAAAAACAAGGCAACTATCATCATAAATCCTAATATCCACAGTTACTCAAATTCTGGACACCAGATGGGTTCGGCGGTATCATGGAAATCGTACTCGCTTGTAAAGCCTCTTCTTGATCACCATTCGGCAGCTCTTCCTGATTGCCATGTAGCAGCTCAGTAAGGAATTCCCTAGCAATACTGTCCCAATTTGTATTATCCGGCATAAATAGGTCAGTGTAATCCCATGTTTCCAGAGCAGGCAAGCAGCATTCTTCTGATATTGGAGACTCTGCTGCACAAGGCATGATATTACTTTGTATTTGACATTCAAATCCGGTTCTTCCACCACAATATAAAGCACCAGCACCTGATTCGGCTGCTACTGATGCATCTGTGATGGATCCACATTGTGCAACTGGTGTTGTCCCCATGTTATTATTACAGCTCATGTATTCCTCATACTGATATTCTTCAAGTTCGGCCAGTGAAAGGCTCCATTCAATCGGCTCATTGTTGATTGGCTGCTGGGGAATAGCTTCACTATCATCTTCTGCTAAGGCAGCCATCATACTATTTGGCACTTGAAATTCTGCAGACCCGTCTCGTCCGGAATATAATGCACCAAATTCAGGGGTCACTGCCATGCTCATGTGTTGTTGATATGGACATCCTTCAAACTGGGCAACAGGGACACCCAATGCAATCTGCTCGTATGGTAGTGACGGAGCAGCTTCATAATGATAATGATCTTCCGCTAACATGGCAAACAAGTCACCCTCTATTAGTTCTTCAAAGTTGTCCTGTGACTGTGAGTGATTGGTTTGTGGTGGTTTCTTCTTCTTGATGCGGCAAAGAACATAGTCTTTAAACAAAACTCTTCCACTGTTCAATGTAGAGTCAGGAAGGCTATACTCAGTCATGTTGTATCCGAGTTTGGCCCTGGTCTTTGTCATCTCGTAAACAAAGTTTCTCTTCCATCCGATTATAGTATTCTTCTTTTGTGGATCCAGTACATGACTCGCCTTATCGGAACCCCTCCACGTACCCTTCCCGGCTGCCACCGTGCGTTTAATCCGCTGGCTGCTCATCTTCTTCAACTTTGTAAACACATAAACAACTCTCTCTTCTGATCCTGTTTGAAATAGATTCATCGGCTCAATGTCACCATATATATCACACTCGTTCACGACACTTTCACATGGCAATCGACGGCCCAATACCTTCAACGAAAGATAAAATAATAATTCTTTCTCTGTAGGGTGGAAACGGTAACCGGTCAGCATATTTTGCATTCCCAGATTTATTATGAATCAAGATCCCAAACAAAATAAATCGGAACGAAATAGAAAAACAAAAGAAACAAATTTATGTGGTTCGACTTAACGAGCAAGTCTATGGTAATGAAATATGGTGACAAGATTTCTCAAAGTTATTGAAACAAGAAGACTAGAGAAAATATCACTGCTCTATCACTATTAAAGAGAATCTCCAATGGAGACACTTAGTCCATCTCTCTATAATTAATGAACTATAGAATTTGATTCCAACATAAATACATAGTGTCAATCAACTTCATCCCATAAAGATTCTCCATACCGACATTCCAAGAAGATTCACAGTTGGAGCCTCACAAAGTAAACATGCAGATGAGTCTCAACAGGAAGTGGCCAGCGAGGAAGATTACAGTGGGTAGGCACAACATCTTTAAATAATCTCCAAACAAAGTTGTTACCCAATGGACAGTTAGTCCATCTATATATAATTCATGAACTATAGAATTTGATTCCAACATAAATACCTAGTGTCAATCAACTTCATCACAACGGGGCTGGGCTGCCCATAAAGATTCTTCGAATACAAATTCAACCCATAAATCTCTTTTGTTTTCAACATTCTTTAAATCTCTTTTGTTTGTAGGTCTTCTCGATAGAACCTTAATCTAGTCATCTGAACACGATTGTGCATGCCACTCTTCATTGTTATAATGTTCTATTATGCGTTGAGAGAGTTGTGGGTCAGTGTAAATCATATTTTGATGTGCTCAAAATTCATTACATCTATATATGTCTTCATATGTGCTGTTGCCGCACTATTGGAAAACTTTTATACAAATTAGAATTACATAGGTTTGGATCAGCCTGTTCGAATTAAAAATGTCCAAGCCATCTTAGAATGAGTAAAACCAAGAAATTTTTATACTTGAAGCTTTTGTTGGCCTGAAACAACTTTTTTGATTAAAATTCAAGCTGATTAAAATTTATTTTTTTACGTATTAAAATTCGAGTTGATTAAAATTAATTTTTTACATATTAAAATTTTAGCCGATTAAAATTCAATTTAAGCTGATTAAATTTTATTTTTTTAACATATTAAAATTAGAACTTATTAAATTTTTTTTGTGTATTAAAATTTGAGATGGTTTGAGCTCTACATGAGATGTTAGCGTTGATTAAAATTCTCTTCGAGTTGATTAAAATTTATATTTTTTACTAATTAAAATTCGATTCAAGTTGATTAAAATTTGAGTCAATTAAAATTTTAAAAATCAAAATGGGGGCTGATTAAAATTCTACACGAGTTGATTAAAATTTGATTTGAGCCAAATTAGAAATGATTAAAATTTTTTTTTAATAGGTTCAAATTTTAATACGTAAGAAAAATATAAGTTTTAATCGACGCAAATTTTAATATGTAAAAAAAAAAAAATTATTTATCACGAATTGAATTTCATAGGCCCAAATTTTAATATATAAAAAAATTTTAAAAATAGAAAGGGTCTCATTGAAGATATTTCAGTTGTATACTATTTTTATTTTTTGTGATATTTGAATTCGATTTATTTAATTAAGAACTATTTGGTTCTTAAATTTAAAATTTTCGTCAATTTATTCAATAATCGAGCCTGTTCCTATATTCAGTTGGAGCTTCACAAGCACTCCAGCAAGGACTTAGGAGCTTCAACTCGACCCCACACTCTTGCAAGCCTATATCATCAAAGGTCTTACTAACCAAACTTTGAACACAAATTTTAGAGGAACAAAAGGAGTTCTGCCATTAGATTTATTAATGTAATTTCGGGCTACTCGAGCTTGTCTTGAGAAAAATTATAAGCTTGCCATTGTATAATTACTAGTCGAGACAATTCAATACTTGGATTCATCTGCGAATACTATAGCTTGAAGGAAATGTTTTGTGACATGGTTTTTCTAGTATTTAAATGTTATCAATATTTGTTTCATGATCCTTAATGTTCATCATTACCAGCGTAACGTACGTGTGCATCAATTAGTATATTAAATATTCCTTAAAAATAGACTAAAATATTAAATAAGAGATCTCTTAATTAATTCTGAGAGCTGAAAGCACTAAGAAAAACCATCTTTTATAATTTTTTCAATATAACAATTTTATTCTAAAATGTTCCACATTCCTATTAAAACTTTAAAGTGCTCTTTTCTCCAAAACCCCCAATCTTCTTAACCTCTACCGTATGTCAAAGAGGTCAGACATGTTTTCTTCTCATTTCTTCCTCCTATCTTCTCCTGCTCACACATAGAGATTAACATGAAAACACACACACCCAAATCACACGCAAACACACACACACAAAATCACATGCACAATTTTTATACTCAATTTGTGTGAGTAAATTGTAAGGCAATTAGACCAAAAAAAAAAAATTTGTAAGGCAATTAAACTCTTGGTTTGTAATTTTGTATCCTAATTGTAATTTTTAAAATTTATGACAATTTACAGCTTTAAGTGATTAATTTAACTTGAATTAATTTTATTATCATGTTTGTTAAATATAAACTACAATATAGTAAAAGTGATTATGATTTATGTTACGAATTACTTGTAGTGATATATCGTAATTTTTTACTAGATAAATACATATTTTATAAATATTTTAAAAGTAAAAAGTGAAAGAGTAAAACTAAAAATTAATTTATTTTCAGACAATAATTCTGTGTAGTTATTAAAAAAGTTTGGTTCAATTCCGTATCAGTGGGTAACAGTGTGCGAATTAAAAATTCAGCATTCAACAACACTCAATAATAAATCTCCACCTTGCTTGTATTCCATCAAGCCATTCAACCAAAGTTAACTTGATTGTTGCCTTCGCCAAATACCCCATAGGATGCAACTCAAATAGTGCAAATACCAATCAAGTTCAAGCAATGCTTGAACTTGAGCACTAGTACCGGCTTAGTCAACATATCTGTTGGGTTCTTCGCTGTAACAACCTTTTTCACTTTGATAATACCTTGAGCCAAAAGCCTCACAAAAGAAGTGATATCTAGCGTCAAAGTGGTTGGCTGTTTCATGTTATATTTGATTTTTGTCAAAAGGAATAATTGACTTACATCACGATATCTTTTTCTTCCTTATTCTTATTTTGGTTTTCGTATCACGGATCTTGGTTCGCGCTTTATGGCATTTCCACTATCAAAATATTCCAATCCCGCAAAGAATTGTTCATAGAACTACTATCGAGATTCTTCGGACCATATTTCCTAGTATCATCCCGATGTTCATTATTATACTTTGACTATCACAAAACACAGTAATAACCTCCTCTTTTAAGTCCAAGTCATAGACCAAACCTCTCAACTTAATTACTTCTTTAACTCCCTTTGATACTATCATTTATTATGTCTCTGTCATAGACAAAATAACTGTAGACTATAGGATCGCTTCGCAACTTATGGTGCACTTAAAAAGAGTAAAAACATAATTTGTTAGAGATCTACTCCTATCTAGATCACCTGCATAATCAAAATCAATATAACCAATAACTATAGAATCGAAAACCATCTCTTCTACCAAATACATGTTAGTATTACTTCTCAATTTAACTTTTCATTTGATTTCATTTGTGGAATGTGATTTCATGTTTGATTCTGTCAAGCTTAATTATTTTTGATTCAGGGTATATATATATATATATATATATATATACATTTGCAACAAGAAAGAAAAACAAAGCATTGTAAATTTTGTGTTTATTATTTATAATTGTACATATAAATTATTCTTAGTTGGTATACTCAATAGATTTTTTTGATCTAGTTTGTGTCCATTTAAAGAGAAGTTTATATTATCGTCCATACTATAGTAGTTCACAACACAAGTTGTTGCTCTTCATGTTAATCTAACAGAGGTTGTTTTGACCAAAGTTAGAATAGACTTAGATAATGTACAAATAAAGAAATTGGTGCAATCATCTTATTTATCAATCTATATCGAGAAAGTTATTTTGTGTAAGGTGTATTAGACGAGATAGTGAAAGAAACCCTAGTTATAAGAAGATAGAAGGTGTGTATAGCATGTAGTGAACTTAGATAAAATGTGGTTGGTATAGAAAGGGTGAACTCAATAATTTGAAAATAAAAATTTTAATACAGTGTGAATGGATATTTGTGGGTGGGAATAGCCCCGCCCTTACTATTTACCGTGTTAATATTTGCTCATTAACGCTTTTTCATTCACATTCACGCTCCAACACAAATACAACTATTTACCCACATCATTCTTTCCTTAAAAAAACAAACCCATAAGTCCACTGTTTACTCTCATGTAGTTTCGGTTAGAAGCACCTTACTTATTTGACGTTTAAAATTATGCATATTATCTTCTTATAGTTATGTATCAAAGTGAAGTAATTAACGCCATTAACAGAACTAAAAAAATAACCATAATACCCATGTTTTAAAATCAAGACTTTTCCTCTAATTTACTCTTGACCATAAAACAAATGGATCATGATAACAAGCCAACACATTTTAATCAAATATGCCGAGTCTCTTTTTCCCTCTAGTGAGGTTTTGATCCGAGGCCAAAAATCAATTATGTTTTTTTCACATTTTTTTTATCGAGGCCGAAAATCACTCATGTAGTTTTTTTACAACTCACTCTACTGATCCTGTTTGAAATAGATTCATCGGCTCAATGACACCATATATATCATACTCGTTCACGACACTTTGACATGGCAATCGACGTCCCAATACCTTCAAGGAAAGATAAAGCATCAAGTCTTTCTCCGAAGGGTGGAAACGGTAACCGATCCACATATTTTCCATCCCTAGACTTACTATGAACTCAGGCCACAACACAAACAAAATAAATCGAAATGGAATAGAAAAACAAAACACACAAATTTAGATGGTTCGGCTTAACAAGAAAGTCTATGTTCACAAAATATAGTGGCAAGATTTCACAAAGTTGTTACTTAATGGAGACACTTAGTCCATCTATATATAATTCATGAACTATAGAATTTGATTCC